TTTGTATTCTATTTTTCTTCTCTCTCTCTCTCTCTTTTTTTTTTTTTTTGAAGCGTACATTTCATATTTCACTTTAAATTTATTTTAAAAATAGCAAACGTCCTAATACTCTTGATCGGCAATATATATCGGTTGTTTAATATTCACGAATACGTATGCTGTTTACTATTGTGATCAATTTGTATTTGTAAATGGTCCCATAGATAAGTCGGATATTCACTACTAATTAGAGATATTACATCACCGAGATCTTGGGTTCTTTATCACGTGATTATAACATATTTTCTATACGTGTCATAATATGTTATCTTTTTTTCTCTTTAACGCATTAATTTGAATCTTTCTTATCGTATTTAAAATTATTTTAAAACGAAACTTGCGTAATCAAAAGAATTCATTTTACTTATTAATTTTGTTCTGCGTGTTTATTGACTCACGTTTTTTTTTTTTTCTTTTTTTTTCGTGCTATGATTTATAAACTTTGTTGATAAATACGTTATTGATGATATATTTAAGAAAGGTAACGCGTGAATCTTATCGTTGACGAAATTACATCGATATTTGGATTTGGGAACCAACGTGCAATTATCGTAATAGTCAATATCGTTGTTGGATGATATAAAGATTATAAAGATTTGAGATTGGTATCGAGATCGAAATATATAAACGTATATAAACTATCCAACGATCTAAAGAGAAATATTATCATTTTTTTTTTAATCATTCCTCAATATTTAGATTCGTAATAAAAAATCAATATATAATCCTTAAGAATTGAAATATCGGAGAATTACAGCAACGAACGTATCGAATTATCCCTTAATCATTAGATGGCGCATATGTTTCTGAGACAACAACATTGAAAACAAACATTACGTTCCCTCCTTAGAGGAAAAAATTCTAAATTTCCCCTAGTTCTTTATCCCTAGATATCTGTTTGTTGAAATATTCGTCAATTATTATTAATAATTTATCATAGTTCCCGGATGTATATATTTTTTTTTAATCAGACGAATTTTTTAATCATTTTTCATCGCATATGAAGTATGAAGTATTTTATCCATTATATTAAAAATTACAAAATTTTATTATACGATATATGAAAATAGATCTCACATCATTACTTTACAATCTAAGTTCCTCGTTCATTGCGAAAGCAATATGGAATAATGCTAATAATGGAATGTTTCAAAAATTTTCCCACATTAGTAAATGATATATAAAAATTTACAAAACAATCTAAGTGATTATTATAAATTGTAAAAATCTTATTTATTTCTTGATTTAATTTCCCTTTAATTCACAGTTCTATTAAATATACTTTCATTTCATCAATGGCGGTGAATTTCTTTGGAATTCGTAAATTTCGACAGTTTAGAATTTCGCTCAAAAAAATTATTTTGATTATCTCAATTCTAATTGATTCGAAATTTTAATCATCATTAAATTTCTCTTTAGAAATTTGGATAGGGAATATTTATTAGGAATATTATTCCCGTTAAAATAATTTTTTGATTTGACTCTTTATCTCCTTTCCCTTTTCTGAACTTGATCGTTTTAATTAAAAATTATACAAATTACACGCTTGAGAAAAAGGAGCAATTTCAATAGCAATTTCTTAAAATAAAAAATTAAAAGAATGGATTTAGCGTTTATTTTTTTTTTCTACTTTTGCATTTGTTTAACTTTACGCTGATCTTTTAGAAGTTTACAAGTTTTAATTTTTAAGTTAAAAAGTTATATTTTTTATTGCATATTATTATTATTATTATTATATATTGCTATGAAAAAATGTTTTCGAAGCGCTATCTATATATTTATTTAATTTTTACATAATTTGATTCCTTCGATATATGAACGCTCAAAGCGTTATGCTAATGAAGAAATCATAAATAATTCGTCTTTGTATCCGTCGGCTAATGTTAATGTGCCTCGTTATATTTTGAGAATCGCTTATTTAAAAAAATTAGATTTGGATAATATTTCGAAAACGTTTTAACACTAGCAATAATAATATAATAATAAAATATAATATAGTAATAAGTAATAAGTTTTAATTTAAAAATCAAAAATCGATCTTTTGCTCAAAGATCAAATAAATTGCAGCACAATTTGATTTCTTTAAAATATTTTTCATATATCTCGTATTTTTCGAGATATTTGCCCAAAAAAATTAAAATTTTTATTCGCCTCGTGGAAGGTGATCTTTGAATTTTCTCAATGTTCAAGCGAAATCGAAGATTAAGATCATTTACAAATTATTATTTATGATAAGATCACCGATCGGAATATTCACAAGTTCGTGGTTACAATTAAGAATAGCTTAAAGATATGATTGTACGAGATTGTTATGAACAATAATTAAAACGAGTTTTAATATGCAAAAATATAATATAATAGCGTCTTTTGACGCTCTAACGGCACTAGATTAAACGTGAGGAGAAATTGTGCTTACTAATCGTCTCGTATTGTTGCATCGATTCCATCAATTCTGGTTTTCTCTCTTCATAATTCGATGCAGCTGGGACGTGACAATTATACTGTGATCTTTGTCTACACGTGATTTTATGCGAACGATTCTATACTATTTCATCGTAGATATATAAATTTTAATACGATATAAGCACGGTTTATCTTTCTTCTCCGTTTTAAATTACAAGCAATTACAATTTACACGAGGTCGTTTCGAAAGCTTTATATGTTTGGAAATTTTTCAAAGATTTGTATATTATTAAATGGCACGAAAAGAAGATCACACATTTGTACAATTTATACGATAAAACTAGTTTTAGTTAAGCAACAAAATATAAATGAGGGAAATACAAGTTGTTAAGTAAACGATAAGAGATCTAATGTAAAAAAAAAAAAAAAAAAAAAAAAAGAAAAAAACATGGACCGTTAAAAAATAAATAAAATTACATTACATTATTTGTGAAAGAACAAAAATCCTGAAATGATATCACAAAATATTTGTTAATTACCCCAATTCTTTACAATCGCTAATATTTTGGGA